ATCAGGCATGGCCGTGTCATCAGGCATGGCCGTGTCATCAGGCATGGCCTTTGCTTCATAAAGCATATCCATCCCAGACTCATTGGCGGCGGGGGTGGTTTCATCGCAGTTGCCATCATCAAGCATACCTTCAACCAATTGCGATGATCCTTCATCAGCAGCACCACCAGCATTGTTGGCATCAGACTTTGGCTCCTGCATGTCAGATCAGGTTCATGCCAGTGGCTGGCTGGCCGATTGAATGAAGATCATGTCCAAACAATTAAAAACCGTTTTTGGCCAGAACAAAAAAATAAAAACACCATCCTCCTCGACATATGTGTTGGCATACTGGCCATCATCATACGAGTCTTGAGTGTCTATGCGGGTGTCTGGATATGTATCGAACCAGGCAGAATTCATCCAACCTGGTGCAAAGTATTCTTGGGCGAGACTTGGGTCTCCCAGCTGGTTATCATAGTGGGGCAGGGAGTCCTCGATAGTCTCAGGAGCCACCTCATCAGAGAGTTGTGGAAAGTTGATTCTCCCCTAGTTTTCCCCTAGTCTAGTTAGCAGCTGAGCATGTGAGTTTGTTTTTTCCCCTAGTGTGGGTTATGTTTTTGTCATGGATGACTTATATAAGTCATTCTAAAGTCATGTTGTGTCATGCATGGTTCGGTGTGCATTCCTGTTTCACATTTGTCCATTTCTTTCTCATAACGTGACTATATAGTAAATATAAATTATATATATATAACTTGAATATAACTTGAGCACAGCAGTCTTGATGCCAAGGATCCAAAGCATGGCCACTTGCTGACCCAACCTTTGTCCAAGGCCAGCTGGGCCATTGGGAGAGGGCCAGGGCAGACAATTGTTAATTGATGAAGCATTATCTATTTCGACTTCTTTTGAGCATACACTGACATTGCAAACAAGAGTCGGGAACTTCTTCAGTACCAGGCCCCAATTCAGCATCGATTTGCCTGAAAGCCAAAGGTTTGGTGCTGATAGAGCAGAACGGTATTTTGCACTCTGACTTGGCCACACATGTAAGAGCCAAGCAACTTGATTGCATCCCATTTTTCTGCAAAAGATGCAGCTTCACCACAGTCACATTGTTCTTCTGACTCCTCATGAAAGATCAACACGGCAGGACTCCATGACAAAAAGCATCATGTGTTGAGTGTAGAGGGTAAAGTTGGACACATGACTGCACAACGGAGTGCATAACATTGCATAACTATGGTTCTCCTCCTGAGTAGTGTTCTTCTTCTTCTTTGCATCAGCCACAGCGGGTTTCTTAGATACCTTGCCCGCTGGCCTTTTTCTGGGACGCTTTTGCAAGTCGGTGGGAACATCATCCTCATCCTCATCGTCATCATCATCATATCGGCCCAAGGGATTGTGATCAGCATCACCTGAACCTCGAGCTTTTGCCTTTGGTTTTTTCTTCTTGTCTTGCTCTTTGTCTCCAGATGAGTCTGATGCGACACGGGGTGGTAGAGCATGGCCAGACCCAGCACCTATCACAAGATTGGGATTGGGCGATGAACAATTCCGAATCTTGAATCTTGACAGAACGTTTTCTGTTTTGACAACTCCCTCCCACACCTGATTCAACATGTGCGGGCGGCTTCAGCAGTTTCGCTCCGGAAGATGGCGGAGTTGCGGAAGTGCCCATTGGGGGGCTAGGAGCACTAGAAGCTTCGCCCAAATTTGCTGAAGACATCAGCCGCTGTAGATTGAAGTTCTTAGCGTCAGAAACGTGACAAGAGAAACGCCCTTGGCTGAAAAGAATACTAAGAACACTAAAGTGGAAGGCAAGTTGCTGGGATTCTAAGACTGGTTTGGAGAGGAACTTCTTCCACGTCGCTGTCATCTGCGGATGCACGCCGAGAAGCCATGTGTTCTATGGCCTCCAAACCTCACAAGATTTGCCTGTCTCAATCCCAGCAGCTGCGGTGGGTGATATTGTTGATGCTGCAGAATTGGTTCACAACATGGAAGGGCAAACGATGAGACAACATGTTCATATCCCATGGAAGTCTTGAGCTGTCCAAACTCACCCCTTTTCACCAACCCAATTCGTTCCACTGGTGTGGTGCATTCACGTCCATTGCTTTTGCCTTTCACCTGCCTAGAAACAAACACCAAAAGATCTGAGGGTTGACAAGCAGTTGATCTAAACACTTCGCATGACAGGCAGCGACGTGGTGATGCACAGATTGGCTCAGCCGGGATGCTGAGAGAGCTCTGGGGGTGCCAAAATCAACGCATTCATTAAATGAATGCACCCAACACCCTTACCTACTGATTGCCAAAGGCCACTCACTGTCAACCAGTAAATATGATCACGTATTATTTTCCCACATGTTTTTGAAACTCAAGTTTGAGGAAAGATTGACATGGGGTCCAAATATGTTCAAAAGAACAACGTGGCATAGGTTCGAGGCCTTTGGCTCGGGAACAACTTGGTTCGCTAGGTTCACATTAGGCGCACAGTGGTCGTGCCAACATCTACTGGTTGTGCCAAGCAAAGTACTGGCCGAATTGGTGTGAGAACCTTCACTTTGGGATTGGAGCAATCCAACCTTAGGATTTACAAGGGCCGGACTTTTCTGCTCACTCTAAGAGTTGTTCAAGATCTTGTTTTTGGCTCACTCACTCAAGAGTTGCAATTTGTGTTTGGCCAAGTGAAACACAAACAAAGCATTTCAATCCAAGGGGCCGGCACCTCCATGCAAGCGTCAGAGTTGCGGTTGAAGACTTGACTTTGGGCACGGACAAGTAGGCCCCAAAGTTCTTGGCAGTAATTGCTTGTTGATCCTTCTTGCCCTTTCCTGTCTTGGCCTTCTTGTTGGCGGGCGGAGGCTTCAAATCATCCATGCAAAACACCAGGGTTTTGTTGTTTTCCCATGTCCCATCTTCTTTTTGCACGTGATGAGAAAGTTCGATCTTGGCCTCAGCAGTGCACGCGGAATTTTTGTAACAAAGATTCGTTATGAATCCAAAGTAATAATTCTTTAGATTTGCCAACAAGCATAGCCGCACTAGTTTGGGCCCTGCTGTTTAGGTTCCAGCTTCTCAGACGCCCACCTCGCCACAATCTTGGAGATCCACCATCAAGGCTTGCAAAGACACTGGGCTGTCCAGAGATTCTATGCCGCTCAAGTGGGATGCAATGTTCTTTTTTTCCAAGATCATCATGGTGGCATTCGTTGCCTTAAAGGGCCACCAGCGACCTTCAGAATCTTCGGTGATCTCATTCGCTTCCTGAGCGGTGTGTGGAGTCAGAGTCAGTGCCACGTGAATATGGACGTACATAGATGGACATAAGAATGCTAGACTTGCTAGACAAGCTTCGTTGCCGTCTCGCCACTCTCCAGGCCCCCAAGAGCACCTTGTGGCAAAAGATGCACAAGATACACCACTTTGCAAATGATTCATCCCCCCAAGAAAATTGGTCCAAGTGGCAACTCCCGAAGCTGGAAGAACTGGTTCTTT